CTTGAGGGTGAGTAAATTATGACAGGATTTTCATTTTTGGGTGAACTATCCCTTTAATGATTACTGTGGTCTATTTTTAAAATATGCATATTTCCTGTTATGTACTAAAAAAATAATCATTCACTAAAGCAATATGAGTTTTGACAACCAGAAAACAAACTGTTTTGTCTTCACTGGGATTGGGGGTGAATGCTTTGGGATATTTTGCTCCGTTTTGTTTGGTTTAGGAAATAGAATAAATAAATTCCATTGCCTATCCTCTCAGGATACCTGGAATTACTGCTACAAGTACCCCAGGCACATCGTTTTTCCGTTTTTGAAGCATAAACCCCATAAAACCGATGCGAGCTTCGGATCTTCCCATGTTTCTCAATGGCACTGAAACCTACAGATGTCCGAGTTCCACTCCCCGTGCAACTGATACTCGACTGCCATTGGCTCATCTGCGTTCGAGGGGAGGGGCTTACCGATAGGTCAATTAAATAATTTGGACAATGACTGGTGATCTTTTATGTTAATGACATTAATTAGGAGTCATTTACAAGGCAGAGAGCTGAAATCATTCAGTTGCGTGCAAGTTCAAGATCATTTGCGATTCAGATTTCACATCTGAAAGAGACGCGTACGTTCATTCTATCCCTGCATCCCAATGTTCATACTATCCATCCTAAATAGTATGTGAGATTAGAATTAATGTGTCCCAAAGCATAGTATGTTGAAAAGAGTATGCCAAAAGTCCCCGGATTGTCTACTATTTCAGGTCGAATTTTGAAGTGTGGATCCATGCACACTCTAATGGCTAATAATACCCACAATCCAATGCGCTTTGAGGAATGATTCGGTTGAGAACTACAAACACGAATAAAAAGCGTAAAAAAAACTACAGACATGGCAGATGCGCGCAACCGACGGTTAATTAGAGAGGTTTAGATAAAGGGGTTTGAGTTACTAATAATCAACATTTAACCTGGTAAAATAATATTTATTTAATCTTTATTGCCCTTCATGACAACTGTGAGGGGGGTGAATTTTTTTATAACTCATCGTTTAAATTATATCTGCATAATTAAGGGCGTGGCCACTTGAGTGACAGGTGGATTGCCGCTGCTGTCACCGGCGTCAAGCTAGGTGGGCATGGTTTGAGCAACCAGCTCCCGCCTCTTTGCCCATTTTCAATTATCCGGGAGTGACGCATGGTGACGCACTGCCAAGATGGCGACGGCCGGCTCCGCCCACTTTAGGCTTCAAAAACGCTCTTCGGAAACCTACGGGTGACGTCACAGACACTACGTCCATGTTTTTATACAGTATGGTAACTATGCGACAGAGCGGACAGTTAAAGACGCAGTTGTATGACGTGTAGTATGTCCCAAAGCTTGCATACTCTTCTACTGCACACTTAAAAGTGTGTACTTTTTCTTCACCAAAAAAGTACATACTTTAAGGGCGTAGTATAAGTAGGCACATTGGGACGCAGCAAATGAATCACTCGTACACATATTTGAGAAATGATCGTAAGATCAAATTTAGGATGGTTTCTGTGCAACATTTTATAAATGATGCCCTCGGACTAGTTTGGATATTTGTTTTTCTGTGTAGTAGCCATTGAACTCCATTTTCCAAACTGCTTTTCTTATGTAGAGTTGCAAGGCAAGCACTGACTAATTCATGCTATAAAACCATAATACCTCTGTACTGAGAGACTGAAACAATAAAACCGCCGCATTAGGTGTGTGGTCAGTGCGGTCTGTTTAAAGCAGCACTAGTACTAAGCACATGTGCTATCTTTGTCTTCAGATCCTCTGTAGGCAGTGCTCTACCCAGAAGGCGCTGCTGTGCCTACATTACAGTGGGAATGATCTGCATTTTCATCGGTATCGGTTTAACGGTGAGTATTATTTAGTATGGTTCATAGTCATAGTCATAACAAATTTTGTTGTGTTCTCTACCATCCAAAATGTTGGGGACAGTACGTTTTTTCTTGAAAGAAATTAATACTTTTATTCAGCAAGGATGCAAATAAACGTTTGAACTTTCTATTCAGAACAGAAAATGTAAAAATAAAATGCATCATAGTTTCCACATAAATATTAAGCAGCACAACAGTTTTCAACATTGATAAGCAGCATATTAAAGTGATTTCTGAAGGATCATGTGACACTGAAGACTGGAGTAATAATGCTGAAAATTCAGCAGCATCATAAAAAATAAAGGAATAAATTACATTTTAAAATATATACAAATATTTTATAATATTACTCTTTTACTGTATTTTGGTCAAATAAATGCAGCCTTGGTGAGCATATAAGAGACTTCTTTCAAAAACCTTAAAAAAATCTTACTGACCCCAAACTTGAACATATATGTATATTTATGTATATACTGTATGTATATTTATTTGTGCATATATATTTATATTTAGATATATTTAAATGTCACCAAGGCAGTGTAAACTGTATATTTTCCACTGACATGAAGTCACAGTTTTCTTTAGTAACAGATTTATTTCAGTCACGCTTGTACTTTACATCAGGGTCAGATGATCATTCTTAGTTTGATTTAAACCATATATTATGTTGCAGTTCCTAAAAAAAGTTACCAACCAACTAACGAGTAACACTCAAATTAGCGCTTGGCAGGTGTTCATTTTGGACTCTGGATATGAGCTATTAAACTATGTTTGTTAGCTCATCACATACCTGTGTTTTTCCTCTCAGGTTGGCACTCAGGACTTTGCCAGGCGTTACCATGCTACTTACGTGTCCTGGGCCTTCGCGTATCTCCTGGGCCTCATCTGTCTGGTACGGGCCTGCTACTGGGGAGCGATTAAAGTCAGCTATCCAGAGAACACCTTTGCGTAGACAAAGCGTCCATCCTTCATGTCCTTAGTGTTTGATTTCTCTCGTTTTAAACAGGTTAACTGTTACAAGAACATAAGAATCCAGGGGGTGTAGGTACCTGCAAATGTTTCAGATTGAGTTATTGATTAGCTCTGATGTACCTGTAACTGATTTGAACCCGCGATATGATGGCTTGAGGAGTTAAAGTGAAATCTGTCATTCAAAAACTAGAAAACGAATACAAATAATCCATTCGTGGTACACCTCTTGGATTTGTCATGGTGGGTGGATATCAAACATATTTTACGTGCTGCATTTTGTTACCAACTTGACCAAAAGAGATGATCTTTTATGAACAGTTTGCCCATTGCACTACAATTTTATGCAACTCTTCTGTTGTGTTGCTGCTAGTTACTACAGCCGTTCTGAGCTGAGAGATTTTATGTGTTCAGAGAGCCTGCCAGCACCCACGGTGGCACTATCTGTCACGTTCAGACATATTTAACTGTTCTTAAAATCCTGTGCCAACATTTTTTTGTTGTTCAGTGTCCGTTAGGGGATCTCCCTCACTGCAAAAAATGCTTTTCTAGCTTAGATCTTTTGTCTTGTTTCCAGCCAAAATATCTAAAAATTAGCAAAATAATCTGCCAATGGGGTAAGAAAAATAATCTTGTTTTCTGTTTGAAATAAGATTATTTTTCCTACCCCATTGGCAGATTATTTAGCTTGTTTCAAGCAAAAACTCACTTCAATTCGACTTGTTTTTTCTGAAAACAAGACAATAATTTTTACTTGTCTAGAAAATCCGTCTTGATTTAAGAATTTTTAGATATTTTGGCTGGAAACAAGACAAAAGATCTAAGATAGAAAAGCATTTTTTGCAGTGCTCTGATGAAATTTAGCCGTATTTCCAAACCCATTTAGGCCGCTCAAACTCACTGTGACCAATAATCATGCATTTTTTGTGGCTTTAAAAGAAAAACTGCATGTACACAGTCACTGGAGCTCTAAAACAAAACTATGGGTTTAATGCAACTTAAGCTCATTCGACAGTTTTTGTGTCATGATATTGATTGTTTAGCACAAAACAAAAAATCATTGACTCAATGGAAGTGAATGGGACCAATTCATAAACATTAAAATACTCTGTCGTTCAATAGTATAGCAGCAAGACATTTAAGCAGCAAGATTTTATATGCCTTCCAAAGGCTGAATTCATTTAATCAAAAATACAGTAAGTACAGTAATATTATAAAATATTATTACAGTTTCAAATAACTATGTTCTGTTTTAATATATTTCAAAATGTAATTTATTGCTGTGATGTCAAAGCTGAGTTTTCAGCATCATTACTCCAGTCTTCAGTGTCACATGATCCTTCAGAAATCATTCTAATATGCTTATTTGAAAACAGTTGTGCTGCTTAATATTTTTGGGGAAACTGATGCATTTTATTTTTTCATATTTCTATTATGAATAGGAAGTTTAAAACTTTTATTTGAAACAGAATTTAGTTCATCTTTGATGTGTCCTTGCTGAATAACAGTATTAATGTATTTGCAATAAATAATAAATAAACATGACAAAAGAACACCTAAAACAACTTAAAAAATGACTGTCGTACAGAAGAATTAATGTACGTGCATTTATAAAATTATAAGATCACATTTCTACTTTTAAATACTCCAAAATTGACCCCAGTCACTTCCATTCTAAGAGACTTTTTTCTGAAACCTGTTGAAAGAAAATGAGTTGAAAATATATATTTTTGTGACCACAAATGCTTGATCTTAACTTGTATTGAACCTGAAATATTTCTTTAATTTAACTCACTGATCAGACACTTGGTGAATGGGCATGATTTTAATTTGATTCTTTTGTACTCAGAAACAGTGTTTTGTTAGTCTGTTACTGACAGGGCACAGTGGAAGTGTTACGCCATGTGTCTAGTGCTCTTTCCTGTGTGTAGAATGAAACGCCCCACTGCCACCCGCCTAATTCCACAACTCACCACAACTTTGCTAGTATTGCTGTAGCTTACATTTACAGTAGTTCTGTATTTTGTTAAGACAAATGGAGATAGCTATACTATCTAAACTTGTTCTGAATGTGACGAGCCAGTGAAGTCCTTGTACATAGGAAACTGAGCACACAAAGTCTGTAGTTCAAGTTGGAATATGGCTTGGGTCTTTTTAAAACAATAATTTCTCAATAAAATGCTAAAATATTCCTTGCCCTTTGACGGTGTGATGCTTCATGCCAGCTTGACTTGAAATGTCATTTTATTTTTTACGTATAATCGCAAATATGTTATTTTGCATTGCACGAAAGCCTCCTGATTTCCTTTCATTTGGCACAATGTGTCATTTGGATGAACAAGGCATGATTTGCTTTGTAACAAGTGGCATCATTAGTATTTTTGATGAGAATATTCGTCTCTACCGTCACACAGGCTTGTTAATGAACAATTCAGGAATGCTCTGTGTGTCTGTTTAATGCAGACACGTGACATAATTCAGGAAGAAGCCAACACCAAATGGTCCTTCAAAGGTCAGGCTGTCATTAGACATGGTCACCTATAGCAGCGGACAACAGGGCCCTCGTTGTTGTTCACATATGCTGATTAGACCTCTTCCTTTACGGTGAATCATATCTTGCCACAAAATAAGTAATTATAAAAAATACAGTTGTGGTGAAAGGTTTACATACTCCTGAGAATCAGGATGAAGTATACTTATTTGGTCTTCTGTAGCGTAATAAAGGAAGTACTAAATGAAACAACAACAAAAAAAGGGGGCGGAAAATGACTTCATCCTGTACTAAATTTTCTGCCCTTAATGCATCTTGTTTCGTTCTGGAGCATCGGTGAACATTTGAATCATTTGTAATGGCTGTATATGAGTAGATATACAGTTATGAATACGTGTGCGTGGAAATTGTTCAACCACGACCTCCCGTTTCACAGGGGTATAAATAAGAGGTAACACATAGGCCAAACTCCCTTACTCATTCATCATAATGGGTAAAACCAAAGAGCATAGCTGTGATGTGCAGCAAATGGTTGTTGAGCTTCACAAAACGGGAAGTGGCTACAAGAAAATAGCAAAAACACTGAAGATGCCCATTTCCACTATCAGGACAATAATTAAGAAATTCCAGCCAACTGGAAGTGTTACGAATCAGCCTGAAAGAGTACAGGTGTCTATCTTGTCCCAACACACTGTCAGGAGGATGGTTCGAGATGCCGAAAAACCTCCCAAGAATCACAGCTGGAGAATTGCAGAAGTTAGTTGGGTCTTCACATATAAAATTTTCAACTCGTATTGTTATGTTGACTATAAATGTAAAGAAATTTAAAAAGTCTAAAATTGTGGTATCCATATTATTGGACCACACTGTATATTTAAAAAAAAAACTAGATTAGTTAATTTAGGCCAATATATTTATTTCCATCCACTGGATGGCAGTGTTGATTCTTGAGCGATGGACATGGCACTAAATGAGTCATCTGGCTCTGGGAAATAGTCTGGCACAATCAGTCCTGACCAAGAAGAGCTTTCATATGCTGTCGCCATCTCCAAATTTCATATGATTTCATGTAGAAAAATTCCAAGAGAGATTCAATGAAAATAAGCCAGTACATCCACTAAGAAACTTTATTAACCACTTGATACTATACCTCCACTTGGCAAAACTTAAAATGAAAATTGTGGTTGGTCACATTAATTTCACATGTTCATTCTGAGCTGACAAACTACATGGAATACAAGAACAGAAGTATATCTTCTCAAATAAATGGTCATGTCAAGTGCTGCTACGCGAGGAGACACAGACCTGTGCTACAGACAGATTGACAGCACTCAACACTGTACTTTCACGGCACAGATGAACACATATCTTATGCATCTCTGATGGGATTGGAGTGCTATCACTGGAGAACAAAGATCTCATTGCTTTATTTGCTATCCTCTACAGTTTACACTACTCCTATAGAGCTAAGAATGTAACAACATTGAAAGCAAGTGCTAGTCACTTATGACTATACAGCAAATATGAACACAACATGTTCCTGATGACAGGGATACAGATGTCAGTCCAGGCTTGTGTGGTCCTCGTAATGTCTGCTGTCATCTAACGGGAGTCGACAGATTCTAGTTATTGTTGAGAACCCACCATGATGCTGTGGAAAGAAACAAATTAATAAACAGATTTTTTATGATATACTTTTAATATAGCAAATAAATATGTTTTATTTTCAAAGTGTTTCTGTACTGTAGTTTACCTGGAACCAGCATAGTTGTCATAATCTCTGGCGTCTCTAAGAAATCCACATTGCTTCTCTGGAAGGTTTTGCTGTAATTGGTCTGCAGATGACTATAAATAGAAAACAAATAGGCTTTTTATCAAGTTATTGCAATTCCTTGATTGCAATAAGAAATCTTTGGGACTGTATTAATATTGAAGCTTGTGAGAAGTGGTTTGAAAGAGTGAAAATGTGGGAGCGACTTACTTCTTCCACATGTTGCTTTGCTCCCAGAACTCATACAGTATGAAGCGGGATTCATTGGCAAGCCGCTGAACTGCAACACTGCCGAGAGAGCAGAGCCAGTGTAGGATTAAAGGGGTCATATGACGTTGCTAAAAAGAACATTATTTTGTGTATTTGGTGTAATGAAATGTTTATGCGGTTTAAGTTTTAAAAAACACATTATTTTCCACATACTGTACATTATTGTTTCTCCTCTATGCCCCCGCTTTTCTGAAACGCGTAAATTTTTACAAAGCTCATCGGTCTGAAAAAGCGAGGTGTGCTGTGATTGGCCAGCTATCCAGTGCGTTGTGATTGGCCGAATACCTCAAGCGTGTGACGGAAATGTTACGTCCCTTACCATACTGTGATGCCCTGTCTAGCCGGAGCGACGAGACAAAAACATGAAAAGCCATTATAAACGAGGCATTTGTTGCATCCAGTGGGGACATAATTATGGATTATAATGACTTATAGTGTCTTTTTACGCTTTGCGTTGCATCGCGCAGCGTAAACATAAAACCATGTCTGCTGTTTCTCCGCTCTCTGCTCACTCAAGCACATCGTGATGTAGACATGTGGGGGGCGTGTTAGAACGAGCCGTTTTAGGTAGGTGTGGCTGACTCTTAACTTTTATAAAGAATACCTCTTTGGATTTGAGACTTTAGTCTTTGCAACTTTACAGATCTTCTTTATGCACCAAGAGCTTGTAACACTCCAAAGAGAAAGGAAAAATTGAAATTTACCCTTTTAATATCAAACGTGTTTGCTTAAACTGGTTCTTTAGAGTTTGAAATGACTCCATAAAGTTTAAAGCTCTAATTCTGTGTTGTTCAAAGGATTTCAGAAAAGTAAAAAAAATATGTAAGGAATGTAAAATTAAAATTGCATCTTTGTATGTAATTTCATAATTACTTCTATTGTCTTTGAAATATGATTAAAGTGTCAAATATACTGACATGCATTTATAATAAAATTTAATTAAACATGTCTGTCATGTATTTAAATATACTGTGCAATTACACATGAAGTTGCAATTTAAATGTAACATTGATTATGTTAAATTTAATATACAATCAAGTATTTGACATTCTTAGCATGTCATCAACACATAAAAATAAGCACACTTAAAGCACGACAAAAGATTAATAAAAGCATGATTTATAGTAATTTAAAATGTACTTTTAAACAAATTTGCATTATTACAAAGTGAGCTCTCTAAGTAATGGCCTTTTATTTTAATATATTATCTGCAAGTACAGTTTTTTTTTATTTGTAAGATTTGAAATACAAAAGTGTACACTTAATACAATTAAGGACACTTGTTTGTCTCAGTACTTTAATTTTGTCATTTTTAAGCCAAAATGTAAAATGTAAATGTAAAAGAGCAGCATGAACATTCAACAAAACATCTCATCCCACGGAAGGAAAAAAATGTCACATATTTGGAACAAAATAAGGGTAAGTAAATGAAGTCAGCAATATAATTTTTGGTTGAACCATTCCTTTCATTAACAAATAACGTGAATATTGGTAAGCCATCAAATCCTTCAATGTTCTGGTGTAAAAGCTTGTCAGTGAGTCATTTGAGCTGAAGCGCTTGAAGCAAGTAAATTATTTAATAATCCAAAACAGAATTCTTCATCCAAGCCATTCCCACTGTTAATTAAGATCATAATTAAACAAAACCAATGGTCTACCTTTATTAGAAAATGTTCCAGACAAATCAACTACTACCTAACGTGATCACTGACATTTTTGTGATGTCTGAGTTAAAAGTCAAACCTGGACTGAGGGCTCGTAAACACACGGCCACATGCTCACAGCACGATGCAATGCACGGACCGCTGTAAGCTTGCTGACGTTACACAGGCTCTGCCACGTGAGCGAATGGATGTCTTGTCTTAAATATTTCTTGATTTAATTGGATTCTAACAGTAATAATTACAGGTATTCCTTAGACACCCCTCATGCAGAAAACAACAGCCTCCAACTGTGAAATGAAACATCTAATTCATTGAATTCAAACACATGGATGTGAATACTGATCGCTTGGAGAACTGGCCTAGACTGACCCCTTACAAACCAAGCTGTATGCAAATGCACCAGACAGTCACCCAGATGCCGTGGCGGTGTGAACTCACTGGAGGCAGCCAGTCTGGGCGCTGGCGCAGTCGATGTACTGTCGGAGAGCCAGACGAAACTCCTCCACTTCCTCCTCCAGCACTGAGAGCTGCCTCTGCACGATCAGGATGTGCTGGGAGGGAGGTCACGGAAGAGAGCAGCAGTCAGAAAACATGATTCATATAGGATTCCAACTATGCGTTATTTATAAATGTGTGCAAAACTGTTCCTCAATCAGTTTTCTCTTGCAGTACATGAAGTACTCTCATGTCGTTCCAAACCTGTAACACCTTTGTTCATCTTTAGGACACAAAAATGAAGATATTTTTTGATGAAATCCGAGAGCTCTCTGTATAGACAGCAACACAACTGACACATTCAAGGCCCAGAAAGGTAGCAAGGACATTGTTAAAATAGTCCATGTGACATGTCGTGTTACTGTCGTGAGCGTGCATCGAATTATGGCATGGAAGAGAAGAAATTATTGAATACATTTGTTATTTTTGTTTTCTTTGAGCACAAAAAGTATTCTCATAGCTTCATAAAATTAAGGTCGAACCACTGATATCACATGGACTATATTAACAATGTCCTTACTATCTTTCTGGGCCTTGAACTTGTCAGTTGCTTTGCTGTCTATGGAGGGTCAGAAAGTTCTCAGATTTCATCAAAAATATCTTCATTTGTGTTCCGAAGATGAAAAAGAGGTGTTATGGGTTTGGAACGACATGAGGGTGAGTAAATAACATAGACTGTATAAAAACATGGACGTAGTGTCTGTGACGTCACCCGTAGGTTTCCGAAGAGCGGTTTTGAAGCCTAAAGTGGGCGGAGCTGGCCGTAGCCATCTTGGCAGCGCGTCACCACGCGTCACTCCCGGATAATTGAAAATGGGCAAAGAGGCGGGAGCTGGTTGCTGAAACCACGCCCACCTAGCTCGACGGTGGGGACAACAGCGGCAATCCACCTGTCACTCAAGTGGCCACGCCCTTAATTATGCAGAACTTTAAGGCTTAATATTTTACCTAAAAATTCATATTGCCGTTAGGGTTGGGCCGATAGACGATGCCATCGTCCATCGCCGATGGCTGACAGACATCACGATGTTGAGCCAGCATCGTGATCTCCCCGAATTCTAGTTGGGTAATTACACTAAATTGCAGGCATCAGGGAGCCGCCACTAATATGCAGGGCATTGAAACCGCTATGGAATGCATGCTCTCATTTTACTTTCACTTTCACTTTCGAGATTCGCCATCACACGGACTCTATACTACGGGGCGGCAGTACCTACCACACATTTTACAAGATTAGATATTTGTCAGTGGTGCTCAGTATCTGCAAATCATTCGCCATTGTCCTATCAGTCATCTCTCCTTACTCTGTGTATGTGGTAAGTGAACTTTCATGTACTGTAATGTAACAGTCTACCGCTAGCAAGCGACTAACCATGTACCTTCAGTGGCTCCTTAGAACGCGTTATTTGTTTTCTGTGCCTTTCTGCAAACAGATTCACGTTTCGGGCACACCCCCTAACCCCGCCCCCCGATGTCATCATCCATCGCGATGTTTCACTGTAGACATCGTCCAACCCTAATTACCATAATGCAAGAAATATCATTCTTATCAATGTAATGCATCTGGGCATTTATTTATTTGTTTTTATTTTTATTTAATTTATTTGTTTATTTATTTTGCAATATCCATTATTCTCAGTAGTGATTTCCATTAGATTCTCATTATTGTAATGTAATTTTTGGTTACACTTTAAAGGTGTCCTTGTTACAGTATAATTGCACATATAAGTGCTGAGTAATACATGTACTTATTATATGGTTAGAGTTAGGATTAGGGTTTGGCTTAGGGTTACTTGCATGTAATTACACATAATTTATTGTTATTATAATAGTAAATACATGTAACTTGTAACAAGGACACCTTAAAATAAAGTGTTAGCCAATTTTTTAATAAGTATAAATTAAAGAAGTTTTCTTTTCAGTAACGCAATGAGATACATCTCATAGTCTTAAAAATAGACTTCATTTTTTAAGCAGAATATTATTTTATATCTTATAATATGACAATATGACTGAAACAAGTTATTGACAGGTTTCATGACATTTACCCTCAAATGAATTGTAAAGTTAGAAGGAAGAGTGATGACAGACAGAGAGAAAGCATTATAATGAGAAAGACAGAAATAATTTGTGTAGCCTGTTGCCTTTTTCTCGAGACGGTCGATCAGTTTTTGCAGTCTGTTGATCTGAGTTATCCATTGATTGTCCTCTTCATCTTGTTTTTACTTTACTGACCTTGACAGACTGAACAAAAGAAATGAAACTGAAAAGATTTCGCCATGGTAATCGCCATGGACCAATGGTATTTCAAATATTCTTAGCAAATATTCTCCCATTTGTTCCAGCTGGAACAAACTTTTATGGAAAGTTCACTTTGCCAAGCTGTTGAGAACTCCCGAAAAAAACTTCTTTTTGGCCTGATTTTGTTTGAAATGACATCCCACCAGTACCATTCATTGATTTTGCTTCAAATAAATCAGGGCCTTTAGACTGAAACAGCCGGTTCTCGATAAAGAATCCTGCTGAAGAGTGAAAACCCTTGTTTTTACTTCTGAATTTCCACAGTTTTGGTGCCGTGACCTGGATGGAGCTTCTCGCTTAACATCACTCAAACCTTTTCAGCTAAACTATGATTTGTTGAGTGTTACTCTATGCAAATTACCTCTACAGGGAATTCTAGAAAGGTGGACTTTAGTTTTAAAAATAAAGGTTCTTCATTGGCATCAATATTTTAACATCCATGGAATCTTTCCATTGCACAAAAAGGTTCTTCAGACATTAAGATGTTCTTCACACTAAGAAAAAATGGCTCTTTAAAAAACTAATCACTGAAAGGTTCTTTGGAGAACCAAAAGTGTTTTTTATGTCATCGCTGCAAAACCCCCCTTTTATATTTAAGCGTGTAGCTACTTCTTAATGGACAGAGAGTGAGTTCAGATAATTGTTAGAAGAATGAATGGAGTCAATAGTGACAGAGTTTGACAATAAATACAGTATTATATGGGATCCAAAACAGATTTGGTTTTTGAAGAAAGGAAAAAAGAAAAATATAAAAGGCTGCAACAAAGAATTTACTTTATTAACAACACAAGAACGAGCTGAAAGTATTGCTGAGTTCGAAGAACAAAACAACTCACAAAAGTATCCCGTCTTACTGAAAAGTTGGGCTCTAATAAGGCCTCAATCAAATATGATTTAGAAGAACGACTGTCAGATTCGCAGTCTTTGTGTAAACAAGAGGGCATTGGCGATACTGCATTGGTGGATCAAGTGAGTGGAGTGAGAAAAAAGGCTAGGGTAAAAGAGGTTGACACTGGTCCATCTGAAACTCCCATAGACCAGCTGGAGACCATCAATAAAGATGAATAGAAAGAATAGCTCAGTTTGCCATCACCACATCATAGTCTTCATCTTTTCTCAGTTTAAGAGTGTGTTGTACAATAACATGAAGCTCTCTGACATGTTCCTAACTGAATGTTGTTACGGTGTTCTGAGTGGATTCTTAACAGCCCCTCCAAAGATGGTTCAGGTCCCGTTATAACTGTAAGTCTATAGGTTTATTTAACTTATTTCATCATCCGTTTCTTACATGTTGTCAGACTCTTCCAGAACAGGGAAGGGTTTCTTTGTAGACTGTTTTTGCAATTAGTCATTTTAATCTTGCATATAAGAGAGTCATGGTGGTGGTTTAATGTTTGTTCTATATTACACAGTTCTCTGGACATCTTGATTATGATTGGTCAATCATGACATGGAGTATTATACAAATGGTTTTGTATAACAATAAAGTGTCCAATTCATGATTGTCATGCCACTTTCACATCTCTCTTATCCGTCTACAGTCTCAGTCCAACACAAATTATGCCCTAAGCCCTGCAACTGCAGCATTTTGTGACTTCTTTTAAACATAAATTGACTTCAGTACTAATTTAATAGTAAGCATAACCTTTTATGCAGCGAAAGAGTGCCCAGTTAAAGCAAGAAAACATTGCAGAATATTAATAATAGATTAACAGTATGATATTATAAACTGTTTTTCTTTGCAGAAGCTTTAAGATAATCTACAAGTGATGTATTAATATTTTTTTTTAATATGTATTATTTATATATTAAATAATAATATATTTGGATCTACAAGTAAAATGTTAATATTTTAAATAATATATTATTTATATTTCATAATAATATTTTATCAATATTTGTTTGACTGAATGAATGAATGAATGAATGAATGCTTCAGATACCAAAACCTCTAATCTGGGATTTTTCCTTTAAAGGAGCATTTTTATCAGGCTCCTATGAAAATAACACTGCACATTTTTTGAAAATAAGGCATTCAATTACTGACTATAACCTTCTCTTTGCAATTAAAGTGAAATTACTGAATCTGGTAAGATTTAATAAGGAACCTGATAGGAGCCTGATAAAAATGCTAATTTAAAAGAAAAAAAATCTCAGATATACTTGCATCTGAAGTCTTTAAATAAAAAAATTAATAATTATTATATGATAAAGTTATTATTTATCTATTTATATATGCAAGTAAGTAGCTGTAAGAAGAATAATGTACAGTTATTATCGCAAAATAAACCCTTTTATGCTGATACCAGACTTAATCCTGGTCATCCGGTTAGGGTTTATTTAGCTATAATGACAACCTGGTTGTACAGTAGTACTTCTTACTTTTATGAGGAAGTAATCATGTGCCATCAAACACTCAAAAAGATGATATGTTATGAACTGAATACCATTTTACTTTTCAGTTGTGGGAGTGAAAAATGATTATGTGCAATCTAATTATATCTATTGTTCAGCTGTTCTCGAGCAGCAGAGGAATGCTGCATCTATTTGAACTCTTGAGACAATGAAATAAATGTAGGCAGGCAGGTGTCAAAATTAAGGCTCGGTTGGTTGCTCATTATCCCTAAAGACACTGTTGCACAACGCACGTCCTGAGGGAAGCTTACCCTCCGTGGTTAAAAATGGCTCACAACTGCATCAGCACACTGAAATCAGCAGCAAATGAATCAGCTAGAGCCATACAGGTGATTAAAACTCAGCTGGAATCACATCCACACACCTGCAGGAACCCTTGGATCTGAACTGACAAACACAACGATCTGTTCTCCAGAGACCAGCCTCTTCTTATACAGGAAATTATATGGAAATGACACAGTGTGAAAAACAAAAATGGAGGTATATCAGCAGCAGTGCTTCTTCCTAATAGCTGGTAATGGTCTGCTTTGCACACATAGATGAAAGCGGTGCTGTGAATGGCTCCTGTGAGCTCTGGATTCAGATTTGAGCTCATCTCCCCTGTTTCATCCCTGTGTGCGGTGCTGCTCCTCAGAGAGCCTGACTCGACGCTTCAGACGGAATAGAGAATGGACCACGCTATTTCAATTTGTTCTGGCCACCAGCCACTTTCTGCACATCTAACGCAGTGGGAATCAATCCACCCTGACCAGCACACAATGAGCTGGCCGTATAACGCCAGGCCTCGCCATCTCAAAGCCTTTAGGCTCAAAATGTGTATACGCTTTCTAAAAAACACTAATGTTATGAAACTCCACACTGTCAACTGTGACACAAAAGCATGGTGACACAAGAGGTTACACGTGGCCACGTGAAGACATGCACAGGTTTGCTCTGTGCTTGAAAAAAATGAGGAAAACGCTCCTTAAAGGGATGGTTCACTCAAAAATGGAAATTCTGTCATAATTTATTCACCCTCATGTTGTTCCAAACCGTGCATGATTATATTCTTACATGGAATATAAGAGGAGACTCTTTTCCATACACTAAAATTAAATGTTAAACATGGACTGCTATTCACTTGTGAAAAATGTGCTTAATTGTATTGCATGTGCACTTGTAGTGTATTTTAAATGTTAAAAGTGTATTTCTTAAACTGTAATTGCAAAATCTTAATGAAATAAAAGGCCTCTTAAGTGTACACTTTCATGTTTTCACAAATACGTTAATGAATATGTTACTTAACAGATAAAAGACAAAACGTGCACTTTGTAATAATGTCAAAATAAAAGTTTTACTTTAAAGTACATTTTAAATCATTATGTTTTAATCTTTTGGCATGCTTTAAAGGGATTTTCATCCAAAAACGAAAATTCTGTAATTAATTACTCACCCTCATGTTGTTCCAAACCCGTAAGACCCTCGTTCATCTTCGGAACACAAATTAAGATATTTTTGATAAAATCCGAGAGCTCTCTGACCCTGCATAGACAGCAAGGTCACTACCAAGATCAAGATCCAGAAACGTAGCAAGGACACCGGTAAAATAGTCCATGTGACATCAGGGGTTCAACCGTAATTTTACGAAGCTACGAAAATACTTTTTGTGCGCAAAATAAAATATCTTAATTTGCATTCCGAAGGTGAATGGAGGTCTTTGGAATGACATAAGGGCATGTAATTAATGACAGAATTTTCATTTTTGGGTGAACTAACCCTTAAAGTACACTTATTCTCACATTCTAAAGTACAGTAAAGTACTTAATTATAATTATAAATAGCATGTTATTCAAAGTTACATTAAAAGTTAATATATTTAAATGCACTAAAATGTGTAATTACAAATATAATTAAATACATGACATGGCTTCAATAGAAATTACATTAAAGTATATTTTAGTTAACCATAAATGCTTGTCAGTTCATTTGTCAGTACACGTGAACCATATTTCAATAACAATAGAAATAATTATGAAATTACATATAAAGATGTATTGACGTAGGTCAAAAAAATCACTCTGAATATCAAAATTTCATTTTATATAAATAAAATTTTAACTTAATTTCAACGAAGCTACGAAAATACTTTTTGTGCGCAAAATAAAATATCTTAATTTGCATTCCGAAGGTGAATGGAGGTCTTTGGAATGACATAAGGGCATGTAATTAATGACAGAATTTTCATTTTTGGGTGAACTAACCCTTAAAGTACACTTATTCTCACATTCTAAAGTACAGTAAAGTACTTAATTATAATTATAAATAGCATGTTATTCAAAGTTACATTAAAAGTTAATATATTTAAATGCACTAAAATGTGTAATTACAAATATAATTAAATACATGACATGGCTTCAATAGAAATTACATTAAAGTATATTTTAGTTAACCATAAATGCTTGTCAGTTCATTTGTCAGTACACGTGAACCATATTTCAATAACAATAGAAATAATTATGAAATTACATATAAAGATGTATTGACGTAGGTCAAAAAAAGCACTCTGAATATCAAAATTTCATTTTATATAAATAAAATTTTAACTTAATTTCAAATAACATGCAATTAAATGTAACTAAAAGTGCCTGGTAACACTTTATTAAAGGGGTCATTGGATGCTACATGCACTTTTACAAGTTGTTTGAACTGAAATGTGTGTTGGCAGTGTGTGTACACAACCACCCTATAATGATAAAAATCCACCCAGTGTTTTTTTTTTTAATCTACTAAAATCTTTACCCCTTTCTCAAATCGAGCCGATCTCAGATGCCTGTTTGTGTGACGTCACACAGACAGGCTCCTCCCACGATAGTTTGATTGACAGTAGCGTCTCAGCACAGACTGGACTGGCGTCTTACCTTAGCTCCGCCCTGAGTGAGCTGTCATCAGTCTGCCATTGTTTCACCGCT